GAAAATCGAGGATTTAACGGAATCCAAAACTTTTTTCGCAGAACTATTTCAAATAACAAGTAGATTCGTTCTAGCGAAAAAAAAATTTGGGGGTTAGGTGCACTTTAAGAGAAAACGAACATTTTTTTCGCTGTCGAGCCTAGCTTGAGGGAAATATCTATCGTTGTGTAAGTTCACTCGCTCATTTGCGCGCGCTAATGACGAGAAAATCGTGCGCAGTAGGGATGCGCAATGCAACACTGAGGAATCACCTTAAAACTCTTATCCGTCCAAAGTATGTGTACCGTCAAAATTTGGGAAGATCAAAATTATCGCCACATAAATAATGAAAACTCATTTGTTTTGGCAGTTTCTTATCATTAATTATAATCCATCAAATATCTTCGCTCGCGCGCAGTTGGTCTAAACGCGTCACGTGACCGAATATTAACCAGCTGAAACTGGGGAATATCCGAGACTATTATCCAACTACAGCGAATACCGTCCAAATAACAGTACAAATATACAGCGATATTGTACAGTTATTTGTACAGTAGAAAACCTGTTTGGCAGACAGATCGGCGCGCGCACTCAAAACTGTCACACTCTCCCTCTTTCACTGATAAATTTATTGACTACAGCAGTTGGATAATAGATCTCTTATTAGATGTTTTGGTGTGTAGTATCGCTTTATATTTTTACTCGTTGTTTGCATTTTGACTCGTATTTTTGGGCTCGTCAAAATACGGCGCAACTCGTAAAAATATACAGCGATACTCCACACCAAAGCATCCAATAAGTTATATATATTCCCCAATTTTCAAAACTGTGCGTGTTGCGAAAAATATTTGAAGAATAATAAACACAATAGCCTCCATTTGAATTTGAAAATATGCTCGGATATTTGCCCCTGGACATTATCTGTCTTCAAAGCTTACAGTTTTCCTCGAGCTACGCTCTCGGAAAGGTGCTCTCTTCTCGAGACAGATAATGTCCGCGGACAAATATCCGAGCATATTTCCGCGCCAAATGGAGGCTATTGTTTATATATTACATTTGAAACACTCGAATCAATTGGGGGTAAGACTCCAAAATATACTGGGCGTATATAGACTTGTCTCTGTTTTTCTTTCGTAGAAAAGAACTTCCGGAAGATTTTCCTTCTTGAGTTACGATGAAATGGTCATGTTATCCTCTTGTATGAAATTAAACCAACTCTCTTGGTTATGTAACCTGTAGGTCACAAGAATCCAGGAAACTGTCACTAAAGTGGATATGTCTTGAGTTAAAAGAATGGAGCGAGGGAAATTTGCATTCATTAGGGTGGGCCAAATGGTTTGGTGAAACCATAACTGACCATATCTATAACAAAAATAGGGAAACACCGTTTAAAATTCCATTCTCTGCTCTATTTATTAGCGAAATAAAGCAATTGCAGCCGCTGAATTTCGTGAGAGACTTATTCTGCCTTTTGTGGATGGTAAGCTTTCTTTATTGTTATGCTTTTAAAAATTAGGTAGTATTCTTGTTCCTTCTAAGATGATTTCTCTTCATCCCTTGTTCAGAATCCCTAAAGTCCCCAGATCTGTGTTGTAAGTAAGTAAGTGAGTAAGTAAGTAAGTATAAGTAAGTAAGTAACTAAGTAAATGTAAGTAAATGCTGTAAGTTGTAAGTTCAGTTCAGTTGGTAAGGTTCAGCATCCTTATACCATGCCTCAAAGGGTTTTTCGTAGTTTAGTGTCTCCATT